GGTGTCAAGAGGATGGGGCCAGCCTCTTCTCCGTGGTGCCCAGCGACAGGACAAGAGGCAACGGGCAGAAACTGAACCACAGGGAGTTCCATCTGAACGTGAGGAAAAACTTCTTCACTGTGAGGGTGACAGAGCATTGGAACAGGTTGCCCAGAGAGGCAGTGGAGTCTCCTTCCCTGGAGATATTCAAAAGCCAGCTGGATGTGATCCTGGGCAACATGCTGTAGGTGCCCCTGCCTGAGCAGGGAGGTTGGACTAGATGATCTCCAGAGGTCCCTTCAAACCTCAATCATTCTGTGATTCTGTGATTTCCCTTAAGTGCTCTAGTTTCAAGACCAGTTCTGATTGATTTTGCTACTCTGTAGGTGTTTTAGCACAAGCATCTCAACTGTTACAAGCTGAGAACCTTTCAAAATTAAAGGATCTAAGAATACCTGCATACAGTCACAAGTGATGCTCAAATGCTCCTTTAGCTTGGACTAATCCCCTCAACAGGGATTTTCCTCTCCATGCACAATCACCCATAGAGCAGACTGCCAAGAGCCAGCCAGATCAACAGTTTGCCAAAGCCACGGGACAAGGCAGTCGCACTCTCATCTTACTCCCCCTCCTGCAAAAACAAGCCGCAGGGTGTTAGCTTGAGCAGGGACAATTAACTGCCTCCGCTCTTGCCCATAGCAGGAAGATTTACCACTGTGGATATCCAGCAGACAAACAGACCTGCGTGCTGGCATTGACTAGGTTTGACAGTATGTGAGAATTGCTTTTGATACTGTGGTTCCACTACCATAGAGTTTATTTAGGGTCTCCAGCATTGTTTAAAGTAAGTACACATACAGATGAAATTATCCTTTTTCCACAAGACAGATTAAAAACTTTTTTTCTAACTCTGCTTTGTGAAAGAGGGTGGGAGTTTCTCTAGGTCCCAGATGTGGGAATATTCCAGAGAGATGAAATTATATGGGGAAGGAAATCAATTTTACTAATATCTCTCCCACTGTCATTCTGCTTTTTAATTTTCACTTCAACTTCTGATATTAGATGCATTCTCAAGAGTCATGGGAATTCTCAGTGCGAGTATATTTAGTCATATTCCTTTGGGTAGGTGGGGGAGGGAAGAGACCCCTAAATAGCTGTAAGATAACAATTTACTATAAGCATATTTACTTGGAGAAACTTTAGTCAGAGTTCAGAGGAAAGACAACTATGTTTTTGGCAGCTGGATGGCCAATAGCCAGCTTCATTTGGAAGCTGCCTCTACAAGTTTTTACTCAATAAGGAACAAACTCAGAAGAGTGACCCTTTTGCTATCCAAAGGTCTTCTCTCCATGTGCTGAGGACTTCTCAGTGTAAATTAAATGTTTAAAGACAGTGGCAAATTAGCTCAATTTCTATATATATATGTTTATATATATTTATATAAACAATATATATGTATATGTGTGTATATATAAAAAAATAAAAAAATTTCAAATACAAATCCTACACAATAGAAAGTCTGTTTTAATGAGAGGGGCAAGGGGAGGAGGCAAGGGAATTCCCACTATTCACAACACTGCAAAGAATAAAAAGAGCTCATAGTACTTTAAACAGATGAGGGAGAATGCTCTGGCTTTCATTCAACTTCAGTGGTAGTGGAAATGGGGAGAAGCCTTCCCCACTGCTGCGAGAGGAGACTGTGGGACTCAGTGTGGAAAAGTAGCAGTGGAGGATGTGAGCTCTGTTAAAAATAAAACTTATCAGATGACAATTGAATCCTGAGAATGTTATCTGGCTCCACAGGAGTGTGAAAACAAATAGGCATTTGAAGAAGAGGGTAGCTAGCAAGGTGAATAACTTCAAAATAGCAGGAAGGGACCAAGGAAGAGTGCCAAGCTGACGGAAACACACAGAGCTCCCCAGGGATGGCTCAGCACAGCGGAAGACGCCAATTACAGCATCACCGCTGCTCCATGCCACCATGTCTCAGGCAACGACGTGGCACCACACGCTCCCTCCGCAACCCCAGCCACAGAAAGACACAGGACTGAAAACATTTGCACAGGACAACGTTTAACATGACCCAGTGTTTATTGACTCCTGCGACATTTTTGCTTTTTTTTTTTTTTTTTACACACGAAGTAACAAGAACACAAACGTGATGGTAAAATACTATTACATGTTTCCATAACAATCCAATGCAAAGTGCCAGCATTGTTGACCAGCATACAACCTGACAAGATGTAGTTGTAACTCACTCTCAGATAGCTGCTGGGAGTACATCACAGTCAAAATAAAATTAGTTATTTGCCTGCAAATAGATACTTTTTCTTCTAGATGCAAGTGGTGTTAGAGCCAGCTATTTTGCAACAACAAAAAATGTATAATATATTCCAACATTTTAAAAACTTAACAGGAATGGACTAAAACTGTTTAAAGATATAAGGACAAAAAACAGACCAGATCTTCTCGAACACTACTTTGCAGAAGCCATTCCTCACAGAATCAAAAGGAGGTTACAGAAAATATTTATTAGAGACTACTTTACTCAAAAGGCCAGTAAGTCTGTGGTTATTGGTTTAGGAATACAAATAGTCTCTTGATTTTCAGTACTGCCTCCTGCCTTTATTCCTCCCCACACAACAAACACTCCTATTGGAAATTGGGGCTGGGTGGCTCTGTATATCTTCCAATACTCCCTACTTTGACATGCAACTGCATTTGCAAAGGCAACCTTGTTTCTTAAAGGGCCATGACAAACTTGCATGACTTGCACGTTTGGCATGTAACAGCTTCATAGATATGAATGAAGGCACATATAAGCAGTCTTTCACAACTGGGTGACAAATGCTGTTTAGCCATCGTTTCAAACAGTCGCTATGAAGACACAAAACCCAAAGCTGGAAGGAATTTCCTTGAAATGCCCCTGTACTGAAGCACTTTGCTGCCCACACAGTTCTTGAGATAACTTCAGCTTGCGGAGCAGTTTGCAATATTTCAAAGACAGGTAGGCAAAAATCTATGTAGAAAATATCAAGACTGTTGATTCCTACACGTCCAAACAACCCCCCCCAACTCCTCCCTCCCCCAATCAACCTACCATGTCTCCAAAGAGATCTTCCCATTGATTTGGAAATGAGGTAAAGGGCTAGAATGGAGGCAGAGAAACTGGTTTCAAAATTCTGTGATGTTTAATTATACATGTTAATAAAGAAAAAAATGCTCTCTGCCACAGAGTAATTGCTTTCAGTCCTCTATCTAGATCAGGAAGATATAGGCTAGAAATGGAAATATATACTTTATTTACAATAAATGCATCTATACTGTTCCACCCTCCACATACCAAATGCGTTGCTGACCAATTCTCATGCTAGAAGGCAGCAACAGTGGTAACCAAAGTACCTTTCTTTCCCAAACTTTATCTAAGTCCTTTCCTCTCCCACTCCATCATTTTTTCCATTGTTCGAGGCTCCAGTGAGATTTGTACTAACACATGTCTTTCTAGTGCACTATTAAGTTTACAATTTCTAAAGACGAAGCAAGATTCGTTTTGCTTTAACTGTCTTTGCCCCTTTTAAAATCTTGTAGGAGTCTTTATAATGTACAAGTCATTACCAACTTGGCATAGCAATAAAACAGGTTGGGATTCTTTTTTCCCCTTTTAAACAACAATGCCGCAGCTGCCCTTCTCAGAGAATTCACAACCTACTACCTTTCCTGGGTTACTGCTTGCTCTTGGGTAAACACTTTTTTCTCCTTTTTCTCCTCCCACACAAACATTGAAGAATGAGAATTTCAAGTTATCGTTACATTTCCTTCAAGTCTATGTTGTGCTACTTAACTATATCCATAGTGGAACAATGTTTTTTTCTTTCTAACTTAAAAGGAGATTTAGCAGAGTATTGGTCGTCTTCTAGTCTTCAGTCATAAAAATAAATCTGTCACACATATTCCCTCATATTCCCCTGTTAAGGTGCTCAGTGGTGAGGCTAAAGTCTAATCCAAATGACTGCAGCTGGATCTCTGGAGGAAGTCAGAGTACTAGTGTATTTACATTCAGAATTCGAGAAAAAAAAGCAGTTTTGTCCCTCAAAATAAGAGGGACAAAAGAGGGTTTTGTCCCTCCTTTAGTTTAGGAGTCCTCCATTTCTCTTAGTATTTTTTATGTCAGGAAAGTTGCTTCTTTTCTGTCTTATATAGCTGTTACCCATCCGTTGCTGATGTTCAAGTTTGCCATTGCACATTACCTTTTCATCTCCTAGCTCAAATGCAACAGAGGTGGCTCTCAGGCCCATTACTGGCATGACAGCCCCACACAGTGTGATGAGCTGATTCAGGGACTAGCAGGTTAGACAGACCATTCAACTCAGCCACTGTGGGCAGGTGGCAGAGAAAAATACAGGACGCTGGAAAGGGCATATCTGAAATGGCTGGTAGGGTCTGGCATACGCTGACAACACGGGATAAAAACAAGTGCATGGGCATGCGTATACATTGGGAGTATTAGGTTGAGAATAATTAGTGTGAGTGATAAATACATCCACTGCTAGCTCTCAGCCTCATTAAGAGCTATTCTGAACTGCATAGTAAGTGCTGGCTGTAGAAGCTTAGGCAGATTGGCGATAACTCACAAGTTACTCATCGAGTCTAATAAGTTAAAAGAAAAAAAAAGGAAAAAACGTGCACTTGCATAACTGCCATTTGTGTCACAAAAACGTATCATATGACTAACTCTCATCCTTGGTATATCTCATTGCTCAAACACAACAGTAGTAGTTACCTGGTGTAACAGACCAATTGAAACGGAATCACTGTTTCATTCAAATTACATACACATGCTAATAAAGTTACAGAGTGTGTGAACTTAGGATAAGCAGCACAGAAATCAAGTCTAAGTCAATCATTGTTTATCATACATTTGTCAGGCTGCCAGAGATATCTCTTTCTCTCAGATTCACATTTGTCATACAAAATATAGTAGATGGAGAAGCTATTAAAATAACATTTTACTCCACATACTGTCAGCCTTCAGGACCAATGCATTTTGTGCCATCAGCTTTCCAAGTTTACCAAACCTTTGGGAGAAACCAAATGCTTTACCAAATAAACTGAAAACAGAAAAGAGACAATCAATCCAGCTCAGAACAGAAAGGAAGTGTTTTTACAAAATTGTGGACAGATGCATACCTACTTCCCCCTCAGTCTTGGGACTGAAAGGGTAGTGCAACTGCACAGTTACGACTTGACTTAAAGTGAATAAAATCCAGGAAATGCAATCACTATGTGGACAAAAGTCTGTTTGGAAAGTTATGCTACAGGAGAGCTAAGCCAATGTTCTGTGCAGCAAAGTGATGAACAGTCCACTGGGCCCACATGGGGCATAACAGAAGATGAGACTCTACAAAAAACCCAGTTTATTTTCACATTTCCAATATCTCTCCTTGCCCATCAGTCTGCCACAGATTTTAAACCTGTAGAGCTCCTTCCTATTTAGCTCCTCCCCCCCCCATAAAGTGCAAATAAGACTCATGTTTTTCCCACTAGTTCTAATGATCGTTATCTAGGTTACCAGAGTGATCAAAAGCCAGTCGGCTGAGCCACTACCACCACTAGGCTTAGAGATACACTTTTTTTTTTTTTTTTTTTAAAAGTTAAAACCCTGGTTACTTTTTCTAGCAGAAGGCAAACAGAAAATGAGGGTTCCTTCTGCCAGATGCAGACACGACAGGAGGCTGCCTTAAGTACCATCAAGGTAAGATGCACATGCTAGACAGACACAACCAGTGCATTCTTGTGCTTAACAAGAATGTGCCATGGTTCACTGGAAATGGAAGTCATCTTTGGGATCTTATTTCACATAAAGAGTTCAGAAACAGTTGATTAGTCTTCATGAAGAGCTGCTTCTCTCTTCCTTGCATCTATATTGAAAAGATAGGAAGAAAAAAAAACAAAAAAAACAACTTAAGCCAGAGAGTTCTGAAAGCCTAATTTGATGGCATTCATCTGAAAACTCAGAAACAGACTAAAATGAAGTTATTTTGTTTTCCATGGACAGCACTTTTCATCTGAGACTCAGTATTTGAGTTCATTACATGAACTGAAATACTACATGAGTTCACAACTTTTTAACAAGGTAGCCATAACTACTGTCTTCGTTTTCAGTTTCCACAGGGCCAGGATACAGTTCATGCAACATCCAAGTAACCCAATAAACTTTCACAGACTCCAGGTTTGTGATACTTCCCTTTCCTCCCTCACTTTTGGCTCCTTGCTTATGATCCCCTTCAAGGGTGAAGCTATTTTTTTTTCTGCTTTTCAGCTGTAGAAATGACAACAGTCCTTTCTGAAAAGCATTTGACCAATTATGACTTTGCCTGTCTCCAGCTGTGTAACATACATATTTAAAAGAGAATTCTGTCTACCCTGGATTTTAAGGAATTGCCTGAGGCAATCCTCCAGACCAGATCTTTAAGTTATCCAAACAGCAAACCTATGAGCATGGCCCCAGGAAGGGCTTTAGAGCACATCTGGACCCTCAGCCCATTATTAGTTTGTCATTTCTACAGTACCAGGCAATTTGGCTGCAATTAGGAAAGCTGGGGTCAGCTGTTCCTGGACTTCTGCAATGTCTTTGGGCTGACTTCAGGCTGCCTATGAAACCTAGCTCAAAGTAGGTAGCTCTTGAAGAGCACCATGATCCCAGCCACTCTAGCAACTGCCTGCCAACACATGCACTTATATATAGATTTTAAAACTTAGTTTCTTTCTAACTCATGATCTACACATTCCAAAGTCATTATGAACCTCTCCACTCAGAAATTACTTGTAATTAAAAGATAAATCCCTTTTGCATTAGTGTAGGTCATGACTGCCCTTAATTAATGTAAAAGACAGGCCCTATTTGGCCAGAACATTTGAAGAATGTAATTACGAAATTGTTTATGTAAGCCTCATGACTATGTGCTAAGCAAAGTTTGGAGGAGGCAAAAATATGCCTCCCAAGTAACAACAGAAGAGCTTAGAGAGGTAGCAAAATCAGAGGATTTTGCTCTACAGCTGCTACTGTAGCGCACAAACTGCAGTCAGGGACAGAGACTGCCAGTGACAGGAGCAGCTACCTGACATAACAGGGTGGGCAACCTACGCTCTAAGCTGCCGATTTGGGTCTTGAAGCTGAAATCATCTCTCCCATGTTCCCCATCAGGCTTATCAGAGATTGAGTTTTCTTTTGTCAAAATGTTTCGACTTTGTATAAAATAACTGACAAGTGATTAGAGAAAAATAAGTTTCTAAAAAATGAATGTCTTCACCACCTAACTACAGAGTTATTCCCATTCTCTCTCTGGCTTTGGAAATATCAAAACGCATTCACTTCTATTCCGTGAACATTTATAGAAGTGTCATACCAGTCAAGTTCCTGAACTTTTTTTTGGCTTCGGCTCTTTCTTCAGCATCAAAATACCACACAGTCATGGCATATCTGTAAAAGACAGAAATCATGTTATTTTCAACTTTTACTATAAAATAGAGTACTAGAGTTTTATTCTCATGGGGAAAGCAAATAAACAACTAATTGGATCAGCAGACAAAAAATTAGGATGCAAATGGCACATCTCTGTAGGCAAATACAGATACCATTTTAAATGTGCCTCTTATTAAATACGGCAGAAATAGAGGTGAGAATTTCTGCTTGGAAGCACAAAAGAGCGCACAGTCCCTGGTGACAGAAGGCAAGAGTAGCTTACAGTCACTGGAGCTTTCTTCTGTTCTGGGATGTCCTTAGGCAGCCTGGGGGCTGCTCTACATTACACCAGCTTTCCATAGGCTGCTGACAGATGGTAGCCCCTAAAACCCCTGTGATGTTAAAGGGAAAAGGTGCAACCCAGAATGTTCCTACTAAATAGGTCTGCCTGTTTGGGAAGTTTCTCCTGTCACCGGCAAAGGGGCATTTTTTCCATCACACAAGGAATCTTATTGTTCAAACCTGTTCCTCCTCATCTGATGACGGAATTTCCAATGACTCAAAGGTGCCATATAAAATCCATTCACAATCCAAATACCTGGGGTTTTTATGCCTATGTACATATAAGCAAAAACTTGAAAACCGCTATATGTGGTTATCGAATAATATGATAATGGTAGAAGAGACACTGTTTTTCCCTGGCTGAGTGTCAATAGCAAGTACGCCATTTACCTGGTTGCATAAGAAGGCTGGACTTCATGTGGGTTCCTTCGGTCTGACCAAAAAAAAAGTAGTCTGTCAAATATAGGCTCAACATCTGCTACATAGGACTTTCCTTCTGGGAATATCCGAAGAATTCCACCATGCAGCTGAAAGAAAAGGAAAGGTTACTTTTTCCACATATAAACACCCACATATTCATTTGAATAATGACTTGCTTTTCCCTCCTCAGTACCCAACAAACCCAGAGTAAACATTTAATGATAACCAAGGAAACTACAAGACAGTGCCAGAGAACTGTATACTGAATCTCTCGGCCACTGTGATTTTCCCCAATTTGTCATGTTTGAACACGGACATCTAGCTAAAGTAAATGATTTAAGATGAAGAAAACCCTGTCCCTGTCACAAATACTAGGCAACTTCTGAGCTTCCAGTCGCATCTCTAGAACTAGTCAGTATCCACAAGGGAGATAAGGATATTCCAGCTGAGCGTTTTGAGATCAGACTCTCTTCCCAGCACATGCAATAAATAACCTGTGTCTGATCAGACACAGGT